TGCCCTCATGAGGTCCCTTGGGCTTGTAAAAGAACATGACTGTTCTAAATGCCCGAGAATACGTTCCCCAAACATGGTCTTCAATAGATAGGAACCTGAAGCCTAAAACAATAAAATTGTATTCTAGGTCATAGAACAACAGATCCCAGACTAAAACAAGTCAGGCTGCCAATTCTAGGAGATATAGATAGGCAAATAGATATAATGTATAGTGCAGGAAAACTGGAAAGTAATGAAGATGAAAAATATGCCATTGTATTTTTTTTGTTTTTGGTCTTTTTGAGACAGGGTCTCCCTGTAGCCCCAGCTGTCCTGGAACTCACTATGTAGACCAGGGTGGCCTCAAACGCACAGAGATCCACCTGCCTCTGCCTCCCAAGTGCTGAGATTGAAGGCGTGCGCCACCACGCCCAGCACCATTGTATTCTTTAAAAATTAGATCATGACAGCATCTTTTCATTAATATGCTTGTATATTTTGAACGTCTTTCCACAGTAATACACACACCTGATGCTTTTCATGTTCTTTAGTCTTCCCTTGTACTGTCCCATAGCTATTTCCATACTATACTATTAGGAGGAAAGCATCTCTTTAAAAGATTTTATTTGTATGTGTATGTGCATGTGAGTGCAGGTGCCTCTGGATGCCAGAAGGCATCCAATCCTGTGGAGCTGGAGTTACAGGTGGTTGTGAGCCACCTGATGTAGGTGCTGGGTCCAAACTCAGGTCTTCTGCAAGAGTAGTATATGCTCTTAACAACCGTCTTTCCATCCCCCAATATTTATTTTTAATTGAAGGGAAGAAAGGATTTTTAAATAACAATTTATTTTCATTGTCTGCTGAGGCATGGTTTTCTATACATTTTCAATAAACCTTTGCCACCACCCTGTAAGACAGTTACTGATTCAAAGTAAATATTTTTAGTTGGTTTTTCTTCAGGGGGTGGGATTTGTTTTTGAGACAGGGTTTTCCTGTAGACCCAGCTGGCCTCCAATTCTCTATGTAGACCACTCTGGCCTTGATCTCACAGAGATCCACCTCCCTCCGCCTCTGCTGGGATTAAAAGCATGTGCCAGCATGTCTGGCTTGTTTTTTAAAAGTTTTATACATCACTTTAAAAATTTTTTTATTCTTTGAGTATTTTACTTCAATTTATAAACAAATTTACAAATGGAAGCAGCAGATCTTTCCTTATCAGTTTATAAAATTCAAGAATATGGGTTTCCTTGGTAACAATAAATGGCAGGGTAAAAATTTGCACAACTGTGGTACGTGCAAGCTATATTTCTGGGAAGGAAATATGGCTGTCATTAGGTTTGTTACATAGTAAGGCCTTGTTGAAAAAGCAAGACTTGGCAATTGAAAAGTTTGGTTTGGGTTTTGTGCAATTGTGTGTATGTAAATATATGTGCATGTGTATGGGGCAAAGGTCAACTTTGGGTGTCATCCTCAGGAGCCATCCACCTTGTTTTTTGAGACAGGGTCTCTTACTGGGACCTGCAGCTTGCATATTAAGCTAGCTTTGCTGGCCAACAAACTCTAGAGATCTGCCTGTCTCTGGTTCTGCCACCACACCTAACATTTTGTGTGGATGTTTGGGGATCTAAGTCAGATTCTCATGCTTGCATAGCAAGCATTTTACTTTTTGAGACAAGATCTCTGTAGCTCAGGCTGGCCTTGAACTCACAGCAGTTGTTTTGCCTCAGTCCTCTGAGTACTGGAATTACAGGCAGGGGTCACCATGTCTGTCTTTGAAAATGTTTATTCAGCATCTGTTCTGTTCTAGATACTGTGGTAGGCTGGAGGTAAGTACCATGCCAAGTGAAACAGTCAGAGGGAGTTGACATTGATCAAATAATCACCCTATTAAATATCTGATGAGGAAATAGGTGCTCCAGAGCGAAAACGTGTGGTTCCTCGGGCATTCCAGTCTGGACTGAAGTCAGCAGTGCTTCCCCAGAGAAATGCTGCATGACAAGCTAGAAAGACAAGCAGACAGCTGTCAGGGGAGGGGTGTTCAGAGTTCCCAGAAATAGAGGGAGCATGAAAAGAAAGGTTAAAGTGGGGCTAGTGGAGTTGGAGCACAGAAGAAGGGAGGCCAGAACATACAGTGTCTCGTAAGTCATGGTGAAAGGACAGACGTGAGGGATTCTATCCTAAGTTGTAAAAAGCCAAAGGAAAAGCTGTATGCTGAAATCAATGTACCTGACTATCCCCAGAGATACCCTTAGTCCACCATGCACAAAATCCAATTATTCCTCTTATTTCCCAATCTGGCACTACCATTCTTTTAGTTAAGTCAATTTAAAACTGTCCTCTACCTCTTTATTCTTTATCCAATTAGTTATCCATTTATTCCTAAAGTTCTCTAATTCGGTTTCCATGGTGACAAATACACTCAGTGGCATTCCTCCTTTCATCACTTCAGTTTAAACCTCTCCTTGCCTGGACTGTTAAGAGTAGCCTTCTAATCGTCTCTACCTCTTTTCTTTTCCACTGTCACCCTTCCCCCCAAATAAACTTCCCCCCATCTCTGTGACCCAGTAGTAGTCTCATGCTTTTCTTAACCTTTAGAAATAGCCTTATAGCTATATAATTTCCCATAAAATTTACTCATTTAAAGTGTAGAACTAATTATTTTTAGCATATTCACATTTATGCACCCATCACCACACTCTAACATTAGAATTTCGTTGTTGCCCTCAAAATAAAGCCCATACCCATTAGCAATCATGTCCTCTCCTCTGACTTAGGGAAGCACTAATCTACTTTCTTTCCCTAGATTTACTATACAGTTCATATAAATGGAATCATAGGACTTGTGCTCTTACATGACTATTTCCTTTCAAGGCTCATCCATGTCTAGCATATGTCAGTACTTCATTTCATACTGAAATAGTCAAATAGGTAGAACATTCCATTGTATGGATAAATGACATTTGTTTATCCAGTCTCACTCTACTTTTAAGTACTCCCAGAGTTTCGTTTTGACTTCTTTGAATTCTGATGTTAAAAATGCTTGAGTGGTGAGGTTTATTCTGTTTCTTATAATAGGTAGTTCCTTGAACATCATACTATTCAATAAGGGTTGAAGGTGAGGTTAGAATGGACTGTGCTCTATATAGAACAAGCATTCTTCAGCTGACTTCCTGTATGGCTTCTCAGACTAGGAAGTATAGCAGCTTTGCAGATGTGCCATGTCATGGCCTAATTTTCCAATGCTTATATTGTGGTTCTGAAGAGGACAGGTTAGTAACCTTTTTTTAACCTGTGGATGGTTAGGGACCTTCTTGAACAGGGTAGAAAATCAAAGATGAAAATATGAGATAGTGATATTAAGAGTCTTAGAAGAGTGAAAGGTACCTACCATAAGCTTGAATAGGTCAGTTGTCTATGAGAAAGACCCATAAAGAGGGGACAGAGAGGTCTCTGACCTTAATCACATATATAAGGGTGGCAGAGTTTCCTGACTATCTGGTTCAGGAGTCTTCTAAAAATAGAAGTTCGTATCCAGGTGTGGTGGTGCACACCTTTAATCCTAGCACTTCAAGAGGCAGAGGCAGCCTGATCTCTGAGTTCAAGGCCAGCCTAGTCTCCCTAGCAAATTCAGGTATACTGTGGCTACAGAGAGACCCTGTCTCAAAAAGACAAAAAAAAAAAAAAAACCAAATAGTTCATGGAGCTAGAGAGATGGCTCAGCAGTTAAGAACACTGGTTGCTCTTGCAGAGGACCTCAGTTCAATTCCCTGCACCTACATGGCAGCTAGCAACCATCTGTAACTCCAGTTCCAGGGAATCCAATGCCCTCTTCTGACCTGGAATCCAGTGCTCTCTTCTGACCTCTGCGGGCATTGCACGATACCAGTGCACTTACATTCAGGCGATATACATATACATAAACTAAAAATAATAAAATAATTTTTAAAAATGAAATAAAAATAGAAGTTCATTCACTCTGGCTTGAAAAGTAGCCAGCACTTAATAAGTGAAGATCACTCTGTAAAGACTGTGCACAGTACTTTCTGAAGGTGCTTTCCTTTCATCAGGGGGCCTGAAATGTGTTAAACCTACTTTTGAAAAAGGAAAAACTTGGGCTGGAGAGATGGCTCAGCAGTTAAGAACACTGGTTGTTCTTGCAGAAGACCTCGGTTCGAATCCCAGCACCCACATGGCAGCTAACAACTGTCCATAACTCCAGTCCCAGGGGATCCGACAGCCTCTTCTGTCCTCCGTGGGCATTGCACGACACAGGTGCACTTACCTACATACAGGCAATACACGCATACGTATAAAAAAAAAAAAGGAAAAACTCGAGATTTGCAATTTATCAAACTATCTCAAAGTAGCAGAAACCTGAGGCCCCTTGATCAAAGTGGCTTTCAGATAGTAAAGAAGACAGAGATGTTATTTCGCTTAGTTAAGTACTATTCAGCTATGTTTTTCTCTTTTTTCTTGTGTGTGTGTTTGCATTCAAACTTGGCCATTGTACAGGCTATGCAAGCCCTCTACTATTGAGCTGTATTTCCAGACCAAGATTATTTCCTTTTTTTTCTTTTATTATGTTTTTATGTATATGAGCATATTGCCTGCGTGTGTGTGTACGTGCACCCTTGTCATGCATTGCCCGTGGAGATCAGAAGGAGGCATCAGATCCCCTGGAACTGTAGTTACAGAAGGTTGTTAGCTGCCATGTGGGTGCTGGGACTCAAACCCAGGTCCTCCATAAGAGCAGCCAGTGCTGAGCCATCTCTCCAGCCCCCCCCCCGGCAGGTTCCTTTTCTTATGTTAGTCTCATGACAGCCCTGTGAAGTGGGCTGAACACATAGCCCTGATCCTATAGGTGGAAAAACCAAAATGACATGGCCAATCAGAAGCAGAACCAAGGTTTCCTGACTTCTTAGTTTGTGCTCTCCCCATTCTGCCTGGCTACTAAGAGGAGGGGTCACTGTTTAATGGTACTTGACTCTTCCATGAATGGTTTATACTGATTTTGTCCACAGAACCATGGGGGTGTTGATGTCCAAGCGGCAGACAGTAGAGCAGGTGCAAAAGGTGAGCCTGGCTGTGTCAGCCTTCAAAGATGGGCTGCGGGACAGGCCTTCCATCAGACGTGTGGGTGAAATACCAGGATCTCGCCGTGGCACTGTGGAAGGCTCTGTGCAGGAAGTGCAGGAGGAGAAAGAAGTGGAGACAAATGTCCCAGTGGTCCAGGAAGAGAGCAGTATCAACCGTGCAGCCTGGGAGCGGCTCCGAGATGGGCGTGGAGTTGAGCCTGAGGAGTTTGACAGGACCAGTCGATTTACACCCCCTGCCTTCATCCGCCCCACCCGGAAGCTGGATGATGACAAACCTCCAGATATCCGCTTGGACCCCCGCGAACCTGTGAGTGTTTTATTAAAGCAGGAGCCTCCTGTCTTAGCCTTTCTAAGGATCAAGGAGCAGGACAGGAAAACCTAGCTGAAGTGAGATGCAAAACCAGAAAGATGGAGTTGAGACCAGAGCAGTCCTTTTCCTACAAAAGCGCTAGAGACATGTCTTAGTGATACAGTCCTGGTCTAGCATGTTCAAGGCCCTGTTTTCCATCCCCAGCACCACAAAGAGAAAAATACTCCACAGGAATAACATTAGTTAAATCTTGAATTAGTCACAGTGAAAGAGTTTTACTATTGGGTGTTAAGGAATGATAGCATGGTAGGTTTTATGCTAATCCTGTCATCAGTGGGTTCTCAACCACAGACAGGACTGACCTCTGTAGGGGCATTTTCCAAATGCCCCTAGGAGGCAATTGGAGGGGTTGGGCAAAGTCACAGTGGCTGGGGGTTTCTACTGCTATTTGGTGCCAAGGAAACTAGGGATATTAAATGTCATATAATGCTTGGGTCAGTCACTCGTAGCAAATTATTCTCTGTAAAATACCAATAGTGTCCCTGTTCAGAAACAGTCACAAAGACCTGAGCAGACCTAGAAAGGTTCCCTGGTTCTCATCTACCAGGAAGAAAGCTCTAGTACCTTGAAAGTGGCTTCAGAGAGACCCAGCCCACGTAGCAGCCACAGGACCTTGTTATCTGCATCTTCAAATCCCTATTCATTCCTACCAGGTTGTCAACGATGAGATGTGTGACATCTGCGAAGTCTGGACAGCTGAGAGCCTCTTCCCATGCAGAATCTGCACCAGGGTTTTCCATGATGGTTGCCTGCGCCGTATGGGCTACCTCCAAGGAGACAGTGCAGCAGAGGTGACCGAGATGGCTCATACAGAAACAGGCTGGAGCTGCCACTACTGTGTAAGTCTGGATTGCATGGCAGTGAGCTACTGCTCAGCAGAAAACCTAGCACTTTTCCCAGAGGCCCGGTCTTAAAAACACTTGTTTCTAAACAGTAACCTAAAGTACCTACTAGTATGCTCAAGGGTTCTAGAACTAGATAATTCTTTGATGTGGGGTATATTATAGGGTCCTTAACAAAATATGCCAATAGCACACGGGCCCAGTTGTAACAACTTAAATGCCTCCAGACATTGCCAGGTATGTCCTGGAAGGAGAAACACCACCCTCAATTGAGAACCACAGATGTAGGGATAGACTGAATAGGGTGAGGCCTAACATCAAGCATAGTTCTGCTTAAAGCAATGCTTTCTCTAAACTATAGCTGTCATTCATCACACTCATCTGAAGAACTAACCTGAGATCTCTAACATCTTGCTTCAAGTAGAGGTAGATTCTATCACAGGAAAACTGCTTGGTCCTGTGATCCTCACTTGACCTATTACCTGACTGTTAGAAGCATTTGTTCTTCATCCCTGAAGTGATCATGATGTGAATTAAGTAGGAACACTCGTATTGATTCAGAGTTTTGCAGACTATATATAAATGCCTTCCAACTTTTAATGGAGGGATCTAATGTTTCCATTGAAAGCCAGATTCATATCCATTTATCACCATACCGGAATAGAATTCAGGTCTTCCCTTTGCTGGGTTGTCCTGCATCGATGTCATCGTTGTTCTCTATTTTGGTGTAAGGAGGGTCTAATAATCGTCCTCTTCTGACTGCCTAGAAGAAAGCAGACACATGCTACTTTCTAACTCTCTTTGTCTATGGCTAATCCATAAAATGAAGTATGGAACAGTTATTTCCAGTTAATGAAATACCTTCCCCCAAAAGTACACCACAGCAGACCCTGCTCCACATTGTTCTTTAGTAGTAGTTCTCCCTCCCCATGTTCCCCACCCCTCACTTCCCTCCTCCTTCCCTCCCCTTCTTCCCCACCCCTCTTATATACACACTCACTGCCACCAGAATACCAGCCTTTCACTCACTGCAACTCTGTTTGCACCAGTGTGCTCCCAACATGGGACTGGGTTGCATGAATCTCTTTCCTATCTCTCAGGAATACAGTGCTTCCTTCCCAGCTGTTATGGTCCTACCATGGTTACCACCACCTTCTACCAGCATTTATGCAAATATTTCTTCCGAATTCATCCCTTTCTTTTTCTTCCTTTCACAAGCACACTTCTTAGGAGAATTTCCTTATCTCCTTCTGACTTCTCAGCCCTTACAGTCTGACCCCTGCCTTCATCATTCTGCTGAATTGGCTCTTACTGAGTCACTAGTGGTGTCCTAATTTCCAAGTATCTTCTTTTTTTTTTTTTTGGACAGGGTCTCCTGTAGTCCCTACTGGCCTGGAACTTGCTATGTAGACAAGGCTGGCCTCGAACTCAGAGATCCACCTGCCTCTGCCTCCCAAGTGCTGGGATTAAAGGAGTAAAGGCATGTACCACCATCCTGGCTTCAAGAATCTTCTTATTCAACCTTTCTGGGTAAAGTATTTAGTGCTTCCTTATTACCTCCTCTTTTTCTTTTCTTTTTTTTTTTTTTTTTTTTTTTTTTTTTGAGACAGGGTCTCCCTGTAGCCTAAACTAATCTGGAACTCACTATGTAAACCAGGGTGGCCTTAATCTCACAGAGGTCCACCTGCCTCTGCCTCCTGAGTCCTGGGATTAAAGGAATGCACCACCACACCTGGCCCCCTCTTTTTCTTAGTCTTCTGGAATTTATTACAACATATAGAAACTGGAGAAAAAATTCTCAAAGCAGTAAAATTCCACCACAACTGCTCTGCCATCCTTAGCATCACCTGCCTTGTGCGATAGTCTTTGCTTGGTTATCCCTACTTCCTGCATTCTGCAACAGTCTGCTTGGTGCATTGGCTACTTTCTGCTGCTGTGACAAAACACCATGACCAAGGCAGCTTATAGAAGGAAGAGTTTATTTGGCTTATGATTCCAGAGGGATTAGAGTCCATAATGGCTGGGGAGACCTGAGGGCAGAGGTTGTCGGAGCAGAAAGCCAAGCAGGCACAAGAAGCAGAGGGAGACAGGAAATCGGGCAAGACTTAAGAATTCTCCAAGCCTGCCCCCAGTGAGGTACTTCCTCCATCCAACAAGGCCACACCTCTTAAAACCTCCCAAAACAGCACCACCAACTGGGGGCAAAATGTCCAACTACTTGGAGCCTATGGTAGGACATTCTCATTCAAATCACCACATTCCACTCCCTGGTCCCCATAGGCTCATGACCATATAAAATATAAAATGCAGCCGGGCGTGGTGGCACACGCCTTTAATCCCAGCACTTGGGAGGCAGAGGCAGACAGATCTCTGTGAGTTCAAGGCCAGCCTGGTCTACATAGTGAGTTCCAGGACAGCTGGGGCTACAGGGAGACCCTGTCTCAAAAAGACCAAAAAAGAATGTGTGTGTGTGTGTGTGTGTGTGTGTGTGTGTGTGTATAATGCATTTGGTACATCTTCTAAAGTCCCCCATAGTCTTTACTAGTCTCAGTACCATTCAAAAGTCCACAATCTAAAATCTCTTCTGAGACTCAAGGCAATCTCTTTACTGTAAGCCCCTATAAAATCAAAAGACAAATTATATACATCTAACATACAGTGGAACCAAATACGCATTCCCATTCCAAAAGGAAGGAATGGGGACATACTGAGGAGCTACAAGACCAAAACAAGAGTGAAAAACAGCAGGGCAGACAACCAAATCCAGTAGCTCCATGCCCAACTTTAGGGACTCTCTCTCTTGGGCTGGTACCACTCCCTGTGTGCAGCATTCCTTGGCAGATGTCTCATAGCTCTGGCATCTCCAGCATCTTGGGATTGCCACTGTCAACCAGGCTTCACCTTCACAGCTTCGCTCAATGGCCTGTCGGGGCCTTCTTTATGCAGGAGTGTCCCAACGCATGCTACCTGGCCTCAGTGGCTCTCAGAATCCACAGAGGAAGAACCAGTGACCCTTTCACTCTTGCTTCTTTTATGTCTCTAAAGCCAGTACCATGTGAAAGATATGCTAAGTTTGACTGCCAGCCTGGAATGAACCCTGGCCTGCTTCATCCACATTAGCAGCTTTTCTATGCTGTGGTTTTCTAGGAGCAGAAAACCCCTCTGGCATTTTCCTTTCACAAGTTGGAGGCTTAGCTGAGTGTGGTCTTGCCCTGTAGATACTTTTTCCATTGTTTAAGTGCAAAGCTGTAGGCTTCTTCTTAATCACTCTAATCTCCTTATCAAAGAGAGCCTTTCCATCTGCACATGACTTGGCTCCAACATTAATCTTCCTAGTGTTCTGTTTCTCTCCAAACTGTACACTTTGTAATTCCTTCTGCCCCATTTGTTCTTTTTCACTGTAGATCTGCATAACATTTACCATTAATAGCCATGCCACCAGTTCTTTTAGGCTGTCTTGAAATTTCCTCTGCCAAAGAAATTAGTCCATTATTTTTCAACATGCAAACTCTTAGGTTTTGGGCAGAAGGTAGCTGAACCCTTTGCCAAAACATCTCAGTTGCTGCTTAAGTCCTTATTTCCCTCTGGAACTACTTTGTTCTCAGCACTGCTTTCTTCCAGGCTCCTACTAGAGTGGCCTGTTAAGCTCTGCTTACAACATTCAACCACTTTTCTAGTCCAAACTTCCAAAGTCTTCCACATTCCGCCCAAAGCCTCATGTTCAGGTTCTTCACAGCAACAGCCCACTCTCTGGTACCAACTTCTGTATTAGTTACTTTTCTGTTTCTGTGATAAAACACCATGACCAAGGACATGAAGAGTTTGTCTTACAGTCCATAGTGGTAGGGGAGGCATGGCAGCAGAGATAGCCACAGCAGAAAGCTGAGTGCTCACATCTGCAAGCAGGCACAGGAAGTAGAGAGTGACTGGAGATCTGACAAGGCTTAAGAGCTCTCAAGTGCACCCCCATGACATGCTTTCTCCAGCAGGGTCACACCTCCTAAAACCTCCCAAACCAGTGCCACCAACTAGGGACAAAATGTCCAAATACTTGGAGCCTATGGGGAGACATTCGCATTCAAACCACCACACTTGGTTTCCATCTAATACCTTCTTCTCATTGAGTCTCTTCCAGCCTTCTTCTCTGTCCATTTTTTCTCAGTGGCCTTGATTTGTTTCAATTCTAAATGCTGCAAGTTCTCAGGATTCTATTGTGAACATTCTTTTCTCACTGTGTACATTCTCTGAGTGACTTTTACCCTACAAACTATCTAAACACTAATGACTCCCATATCTGTGTCCAGATTTAAATTTCCTGTCTCAGAGGCTCATCTATCTTCATGTCTCTCCAGCACTTCATGCTCTGAATGCCCCCAAATGAGCCCATCCTTCTCCCTAAACCTGTTCTTCCTCCATTCCTTACCCCTGTGAATAGTAATATCTACCAGTTTACCAATCCCAGCTCTTTCCTCACCCTCTTCCCTCAAAGTCACCTGGTTCTGCTGACTCGACCTCTAATGTCTCTCACTTCGCTCTTTTTCCATTCTGTGTCTGAGTTTAGTCACCTGTTTTTCTTACTATCATTGTAACAGCCACCTAGCTGTTCTCCATACCTCCAGAATTTCTCCTCTAATTCATTTTTTCTACAGTAGTTAGAGATCTGGCCATGACACCTCCTACCTAGAAACCTTTCTGTGCCTCCCCTTTGCCCTTAGAATAAAGCCCACATGAAGGGGCCTGAGCCAAAGGCATGTCTGATAGAATGTATAAATTGCAGGAGAGTCATAAGCTTCCTTACATAAATTCCTCAGGGTAGCCAAATGGCCCAAATTGGAGGTTTGGCCTTTGAACCGGTCACTTCCCTGGCTGGCAGAGACTGGTTATAGGGGTCACTTAACTCCTGCTGTGATATAGCCTGCTCTGGCAGCCTGGCCTTATCACCTGATCACTACAGAGACTGTTTGCAGAGTCAACCTCAAGTACCCCAAGGACACCTGACACCTAACACTGACCAAATTCCTGCAGCTGCATTCGGCAAAGTCTCTCTATAAAAACCAAAATGCTCTGCTTGTGTTTGGTGTTGTCTGTATCCATGGACAAGACACCAGCCCTTTGCTGTGTTCTCCTAAATTAAAGAGGACATAGTCCTTGCCTGTTGCAGGTCTGGCTCTGGTTCTTATTTCTTAACTTTAAACTCCTTCCTTGTTCTGCTCTCCTAAATTTGACAATGTCAGGAGCATAAGGTCCCACACCTGTTTCTGCACCTCTTTGCACTTCCTGTGTTCTCTCACAGGCTGCAGCCACACTAAGTATCTCATTTATTGAGCACCTGACATGTCCCACACATGTAAGATGCTCAGTAAGTGTTTATTGAAAGAATCATTTTGAGTTCTTCATAAAACTCACAAATGGGGGATGGAGAGATGGCTCAGCAGTTAAGAGCACTGGCTGCTCTTGCAGAGGACCGGGGTTCAGTTCTCAGCACCCACATAGTGGCTAATCATCATCCATAATTACAGTTCCAAGGGCTCACATGCCCTCTTCTGGCTTCCAGGGACATTGAATGCAAGTGATGCACTCACAAAACACTCATATGCATAAAATAAAAATAAATTAATTTTAAAAAGTTAAAATCTCAGCCGGGCGTGGTGGCACACACCTTTAATCCCAGCACTCGGGAGGCAGAGGCAGGCGGATTTCTGTGAGTTCAAGGCCAGCCTGGTCTACGTAATAAATAAAATAACAGAAATCAAGGTGTGTTTCTGTTTGATAATTTTTTTTGAAGAGCAATACTTTTTAAACATTGAATTTCATAGAACAAAATACATTTTAAAAAGGAGAGCCGGGCATGGTGGTGCATGCCTGTAGTCCCAGCACTTGGGAGGCAGAGGCAGGCAGATCTCTGTGAGTTCAAGGCCTGTGTGGTCTACATAGTGAGTTCTAGGCTAGCTGGGGCTACAGGGAGACCCTGTCTCAAAAAGACCAAAAAAAAAAAAAAAAAGTTAAAATCTCACGCTGGATATGGTGACTCACGCCTTTAATCCCAGCAAGTGAATCTCTGTGAGTCTGAGGCCAGCCTGGTCTACATAGTGAGTTACAGGCCAGCTGGGGATACAGGTAGTATCTCAAAAAAAAAAAAGAAATTTAAAACCTCACAAATGAATACTGATGAGATATCTGCCTCTGTTTGCTAGTAGTTTATAGGGAAAGTTCACCAACTATTACAAAGAATTTGATAAAAACTGCTATGACACCCTTAAAAAATCATTTGCAAGCCAGTCATGGTGGCACATACCTTTGATCCCAGCACTCAGGAGGCATAGGCAGGTGGATCTCTGTGAGTTTGAAGCAAGCCTGGTCTACATAACAAGTCCCAGGTCAGCCAACTACAAAGTGAAACCATGTCTCAAAAATTTCCTTTGACTTTAGGAGCCTTGCCGTAATTCCATCACTTTCAAAGCCATTATGGAGCTGTTCAAAGCACTACAACCTACTAGAAGCAGACTTATTTGGTTTTTAGAAGTAAAATGCACTTTAAGTACAGCCTAACACAAAGTCAGATACTTAGAAAATGGATTATATAGGCATCTCTGGTTGGAAGAGCTAGGGATTTACAACCTTGAGTACTCAGTAGCCTCCCTTATGCCCTGAGGAAGCTTTCTGAGACACTTCCAAGAAATCCCTAGGTTAGCTCAGGGGATAAGTTAAAAGCCAATATTTTAATAAAGGGACTCAGCCAGAGTTAGGATATCTGGATTCTGGGGAAGATTCATCCCCAGAGTTAGACAACTCAGAGCAAATCATTTCTCTTTCTAGGGCCTTAGTATCTTTGATTGTGTGGGAGGCTGTAATAGGTGATCTTGTAGTTGCTTTCCAGCGGAAATACTGTTTCTATCCCTTTTGAGCCTTGGCTTTTCTTGTCTCCACTTGTCTTCTCTTCCAGGACAACCTCAATTTACTGCTTACAGAAGAGGAGATGTACAGCCTTACAGAGACCTTTCAGCAGTGTAAAGTCATCCCTGGTAAGACCAGCCAGTGCTGCCAGGAAGGAGAAGGATCGAACAGATTTCCCTTTCATCCTTTCTAGGGAACTGTGAAGAGAGCTTTCTGGGATTTGGGGAATAGGGGCAAATGAGTCCTTTCCTGAGTTGGCCAGCAGAGGCACCCATTCACCCCAGCTACCCTGAACTTCCCTGGCTGTGGGAGGCAAAAACTGGGCTGTGGGGCACTGGGGTTGCCTTGGAGTGAGTGAAGGTGTCCAAGGTTGAAGGAGGGTGGGTATGGCCAGTAAAGGTGCTTCCCACAGATTGTTCCCTGACACTGGAGGACTTCCTGCGTTACCGCCACCAAGCAGCAAAGCGGGGGGACAGTAACAGGGCCCTGAGTGATGAGCAAGAGGAGCAGGCAACTCGCCAGTTCGCAGCCTTGGACCCTGAACATCGGGGCATCGTAGAGTGGCCTGACTTCTTGTCCCATGAATCCCTCCTACTTCTGCAGCAGTTGCGTCCCCAGGTGAGGAGCAGCAGGGTTGTATGTCCGTGGGATACTGAGTTTCAGAGGTCTAAGTTGCATGCCGGACTAGGTTTGGGGAGCACTAGGTATGGTCTGAGCAAAGACTTGTATCAGGAATGGGTTACAGTTCCATCCAGTGACAAGTGATCACTACCCAGAGCTAAGGAAAGTGCCTGAGGAAGACTGGTTTGTACTGAACTCCCCTGAAAGTATTTGGATACCAGAAGGGCTCTGGGAACTTGTGAGGAAGGTGGCAGAGCTTAGGTAGTGGAGGTGGGGCTCATATAGTTTGACAGCTTTCAAGACATTTTTCACTTTTAAGATCTTAACTTACCTCTTCTTCCCCAGAATTCTCTGTTGAGGCTTCTGACAGTCAAGGAGAGGGAACGAGCCCGAGCCACCTTCCTGGCACAGGGTAGCGGGAGCACCATCAGTGAAGCAGAGTGCCACCGTGCCCAGCACTCCTGGTTCTGCAAACACCCTGCAGAGGCTCCTTCCTGTAGTGTCAGGTCTGCTCCTTACCAGCTGCTGCCCCACTTAGCCTCCATCCTCCTTTTTCCATGTTGATGGTCGTTATTGCAACAGGTGCTTCCTTCTGCCAATAGGCAGGAGAAGATCCTCCTGTGCACTAAGTAGAAGACAGTGATTTCTATTGGCAGTATGTAGGACAGCCTCTGCCCTGAAGTCTGTGTTATTCCATGTCAGAAAAGCCTGAACAGGCATGTTCAGGTCCATGGGTTCACTGGAGTTTGGGAGGGGTCAGGCCTTTTGCTGTCCCATTCCTAACTACATGTCCTTGTGCCTAACAGCATCAGCCACGTGGGTCCCATAGCAGACAGCAGCCCAGCCAGCAGCAGTAGCAAGAGTCAGGATAAGGTCCTGCTGCCTGCAGAGCAGGAGCCCAGGTGAGCTGAACCTCCTCACCTTGCTGAATGTAGCCTCCACCCACACATAGGTGTTATTACTGCCACTCCAAAATAGCAAGTGCCCACACTAGAGACCAGGCTTCAAGAGGACACGTTTGACCCTGGGTCTTTGGGGCCAGCCAGCTGATGTGCTGGCTTTGTAGCACAGCCAGCTCTAACCATATCAGTCATGAGGCATGCCTCCTTGAGGGTTTTGTCTAGCCCAAGCCATGCTACCACTGGGATTGGCTTTCATGGGTCTTCAGGCTCTATACCCAACCACAATTCTGTTCTTTGCCTCCGCAGATCTGTGGACTGGCCCACCTTTCTAAGAGAGAATGTCATCTACATCTTGGCTGCTCGTCCCAATAGTGGAGCCATTCACCTGAAACCTCCAGGATAGTGTGGGGCAGAGAAGCTCAGTTCTGGGACGGTGACATCTACTCCCTCCTTTCCTTTCTCTTTCCTCTACCAGCCTCTGGCACTGAGACTCATGGGAATGGGGCACTGCCAGCATCTTAATTTGTCATTAAGCGCTATGGCACTGAAATCACCATTCCCCTCACAACAGAGGCAGTACGTGCATTGCCACAAGGAGAAGTCCTAAGAGCTGTGGCATCATCTGCTACTGGACCACCTCTGCCCTCACATTATAAAACTACCTGCCACCACATGCACATGTGTGCACATGCATACACAGTCACATACATGCCTAGATATCCATGTCTTCAAACTCCTAGTTTGTTTTCAATGAAAATGGACCAATATCCCTTTATGAAACCCCTGGTACAAATGAGGTGGTCTCTTCTCCTTCTGTTGGCCAGTTCTGATTTTCAGTAGAAATAAGGGGGCAGATCAGACTCACATCCCCTCCTGGAGATGCTGAGAGGCCCCTCTGCCCCACTTTGAAACCCCCTTCTGTGAAAAGCCACTGTTACTAGTGAATGTCTTTATGTTTTTCAGGTGTATTTGGGATGGAAAACAGTTGAAAATCACTCCCTGCAATTTTTAATATATATTTATATTTTAATTCCTAGTGACAGAAAAGACAACTAGCTTGTGGGATTCTGACTGGAAAAGGGGGAGGCATCCTCTCCTAGAGACACAGAATTCTAAGAACTTCTAAGCCACGTAATTCAAAGGCCCCAAGTCTTTAGCAGAACAGGAAAACCAAGGCAAGACTCCTGGCCTCTTTTTTCAGATGGTATATGATAGTCCAAAGCTCTAGGTACCTGAGTGGAATGAATATACTAGCAGGAATCACAGCTCTCTGTTATAGATGCCTCGACCAAGTCAGCTGCCACAGAGATCAATGAGGATGCCATTTGCAAGGAAGAGGAGAAGAGAAGGCTAGGCTTTTCCATTTTCCCAGCCCAGCTTAACCACAGCTATAACAATGTGTCATTATATGGAGAACAGTGTCAGCCTCTTACACAGCCTAAGGGAAACAGCTCTGCAGAAGCCCTAAGCAGGGACTCCTTTCATTCATGCTGAAAAAGAATCAGAGACAACCAGGGCTTAAGAAGATTTGCATCTCAGCTCTTCAAGTAGAGGTCCTAGTCTAACCTCACAAAGGAGAAACTGTCTTCCCCATCACTGAGATGTGGCCTCCGTTGCTGCTTCTCCCTGCTGCTCACTACATGTCTTTCTCTCTGTGCCAGGGATTGGGACTGGCATGGGAGGACTTTGGGGGCAAGCAGGCAGTGCCACAAGTACACAAAGCTTGCCTGGAAGCCCTGCCCACCCCACCCAGTTCCAAAATTCTCAAGTCAGTGTATGCTGTGGACAGCCCTAGCCCTAGGGGTCCAAGCTCTATTGTCAGCCAAATGACTTAGGTATAGACAGTTATTGGAGAGAATTGAGCCAGGGCATACAGAAGCTCACTAATCTCCATTGCTCAAGGTACTAAAGTGGATGCTTGCAGAAGGAGCATACCACTCAGTGTTGGGATGCTCAAAGGAAAGCGGGGAAACTGCAACGGTAACAGCCCTGTTGTAATAGCGCTGTGTAGTCTCCTACTATAGGAACTGCCTGACCTAGCGTGGAGCTAGCGTGGAGCTGCTGCGGATATATTACTTAGAAATGAAATTAGCGCTGTGTAGTCTCCTACTATAGGAACTGCCTGACCTAGCGTGGAGCTGCTGCGGATATATTACTTAGGAATGAAATGTTACAGATAGGAGACAAATGTGGGTTTATATGCATGGCTCTGAACATTTTGAAACCCACAACTTTTAAAAATTACTACTCAGCCATATTCCCAGGACTGATCAGTAAGAGGGGCCATTATTGAGTCTAGTAAAAAGGAGAAAGCACAAAATTCTTGGGCTCAAGGACTTCATCTGAGGCAGCCAGGCCTGGAGTTTCCCGTTGAGAAGACTGAAACTTGTTAAACACAGGACTCTCGCTCTCCTGACAAGTGACCATCTATCCCACTGGCTGTGGGCTACTAACGTCACAGGATTGGTTTGGTTTGGTTTGGTTTGGTTTTAGGTCTTTTTGAGACAGGGTCTCCCTGTAGCCCCAGCTGTCCTGGAACTCACTATGTAGACCAGGCTGGCCTTGAACTCACAGGGATCTGCCTGCCTCTAGAGTGCTGGGATTAAAGGTGTGCGCCACCGCGCCCAGCACAGGATGTTCTGAATAGAGATGAGCTCTGGGTTTTTTTCCCTGCCACTTAACCAATCACAGAGACTGAAAGTACATCTTTTTGCTCCCTAATCCTTCACAAATCAAGATGGTACCCACCACTCTGGAACTGCTGTTTATTTTTCTTTGTGGGTGAGTGGTGGAAGACCACAAGCCAGATCAGGCTAGCTGGGTCCCAAGGCTTACAGAGCCAGCATCGCAGCTCATCCATAGCAGAACAGGCCTATTTGGGATTACCTCCCTATCCAGGACAGCAAGCTTCCTTGGTAGGAGGCCTGCTGAGAGGGGCCAGGGGACACCTCCCCCAGCAAAGAATGGAGGTCCTGGTCCACAACAATCTTGAGAAGCAAAAAAAGCACACAGAGGCAGCTGACCTCTTCATAAGCATCCAGCACTGTACCAAAGGGAAGATTCATTGTTCCCCCAGTCCAGAGTTAGAGAAGCCCCCCCACAACCCCTCTGTCCATAATCTCTCTTTGCAGTGTCTGACTTCCCTGGAGCCCCTCTGTGGTATGTATACAGGTACACTTTTATCAACCTAGTAAGACTCATTCCCTTTTCAAGCCTTTCCATCACTGTGACTGATGATGTGCCAAGTGCAAAAAATCAGTGTCTGGCTTTGCTGAGGGTATTAAGAAAATGTATCAGTTGTTTCCTCTTGGTAGCCAAAATTGAGAGCAATGTTTTTCCCAAATACCACCCACCCTACACTCTAGCCAAGGAAGGCTTGGGTTACACACATCCTCCTCTGAAGACCACTGGCCCCAAGCATCATAGCATGTACTTAATACAATTCAAGACAGCTAAAGTATTACCAATAATATAATCTTAGGGGACCACCTTCATATATGCCATATGTTGGTTTAGATATCATTCAGCCGTCTTCTTCCCTATACTCATTTAAATGAGGGGCATCGGAATGACACAGTAGAGCTTCAGGGACAGAGTCATTGAGAGAGTGGCATACCCACATAACCTCTTCAGGTATGCTCCTTGGCTTCCTCTCTTGAGTCACCTTCCCCAGAAAAACATTTGAGCAGTGATCCCTATGGTACCCCAGGGATGGAGCAGTCTCCTCACTCCTTGGTACTGATCCAACTCAAGTGCCCTTCCTTTGAGGACAGCTGCAGCAGAAGCCATGAATATGTTGCCTCTTTCTACCCTCAGCCCAAGTGAGGGACAACCTGCCTTTCTGGTCCTAGTGCTCCCGTGTGGGATTTCACCTGGGCCTTGTTTAAATGGCCAAGTCTTGGGGTTCCCAATGTAGAAAGCACAGACTTCAACTGCTTGGGAGGAGGACACTTCACTGAGAAGTAAGCTCCAAGGTTGTGCTCATGCCTCAGCCCAAAGCACTACAATTGCTGCAGGCATCACGGCTTCACTAAGAGTAGTATAAGACACTCTGAAGCTAAGAAAAAGTAAGGCCCAGCCAGCCATGGCCACCTGAGAGCCTAAAGTAACCTCAAGGCACAAAAACTGAGCTTGTGGCAGGCTCTGCTGTTTATGTCTCCTCCAAACCAGCGGAGTAAAGACATATATAGTCATGCATTGCTTAACAATGAAAATACAGTCTGAAAATATAGGCAATTTCTTCATAGTGAACATTATAGCATGTATTTAGCACAATCCAAGACAACTACGATGTTACTAGGTAATCTTTGGGAGCCACTATCATATGCCATCCATTAATGGCTGAAATATGTGAAGCATGACTTCTGTACCTGGCACTAACAGGCAGAACAACTTTGATGCCAGAATTTCAGGACATCCTGGCAGCACCAGTAACCATAATCTTTTTTAAAGGCTGGCCATGATCTGTCTCCCAGCCATTTCCAGCGGAATCAAATCACTGCATCCTCCTTGTCATTTGGTTTGAATTTGTCCACATCTCTCTGGGCCCCTGGCTGCAGCCCAGACAATGGAGATCTCCTTGAGTAGGTGCAATCAGAGTATCATGCCTGTTTCCAAAGCGCAGCCCTGGAGTGGGGTAGGGCTGGGCACTTTTCCTGCTATTGCCTGTTGCCGCTGTTTTTGGCAATCTTGAAAATGACAGGTTACAGAATTTCCCACTAGACCAACACTAAGGACAAGCTGCTTCCCTCTGGGCTGCATGCTCCAATGACCCAGAGCATGGAGAAGATGGTCATGTCATGTCTGGACCAATGATTAAGCTCAGTCACATGCCAGTTTGAAATGGAAAGGATTCACTTTCCATGTGGATAAGCAAAGGCCTTCAAGCTTAGCCTCCAGCCATTAAAGGATGACCATGGTCTGTCTCCCAGCCAAAAAGGTGCTGAGGGAGGCTCTGACAGAACTTGAGTAACAGTGGAGGAGCCAAGGCCCTCTGGTCCCTCATGCACTTCCCATGTACTTTTCTGCTCAAGGTAACTTAACAGTAATCAGAGGGGAACATTCCCCAAACCCTGTCTTCCCATCTGTGGCTGCATGCTCCTCCCTGTGACTCAGCCTTCACAGTACTCCAAGAAGGAGCTCCCAGAGGCTGGGCACAGCAGAAATTATAATAAAGAGATTGTAATGCTGTTTCTGCTTCTTGCTTGTTTTGGGAGAACCTCTCATTTCCCAGGCATTTTCCAATTCTTGGGCCTGAGGATAAGACAGGACAGTGTGGCCTCTGGTCTGTTCAAGGGCTGTGTTCTTAGCCACTTGGTTTTGTGCTGCCTGTCAGAGTACACTTCAAGGAACCTACTGCAGTATAGTCTAGCACTTCCCCTCTCCACTCCTCAAAATAGACCCAGGCAGGGAACCAAGCTTGTAGCCATGTCACAGATGTCTCACCACCTGCACAATGCCCTCCCCCACTCTGTACCCATCTCTTTCCTCTGTGGGGTTTTCCCATAGGGTGGGAAATGTCCATCAGACTCAGAGGCAGTTTGGTGGTATCACATGTGGTCCTTGTCTCCAAGCTCAGTAATGCTGAACATCAGGGTAGAAAAAGACATAAAACCTGGCTCTCAGGCTGGCAAAGTAACTCAACAGGTAAAGGCACTTGCTGCCAAGCCTTGACCTGAGTCTTATCCCTAGGACTCAAATGTTGAGAAGGAGAAAACTAACCTCCATAAGTTGTCCTCTGATATCCACATGTACCATAGCATATGTGCACTCAAAATAAAAATGTAATAAAAAATTTAAAACCCTGAATCTCTGGACCAGATCAAGGTTTTCCTTCCCTTGGTTCAGCAACCCTGGATGGAGATTGAGGCCCTCCTAGAATCGTTCCTCTCACCTGCTGCCACTTGCTCCCAGGGCTTGCTAGAGCCTCATCTCCACACAAACCTCTACCCATCCTGTCCTGCCCTGTCTCAAATGCATTCCTCTGTCTCTAGAGAAAGTCGCTCCCCAAGGAGAAACAGTGGTTTCTAAGTTCTCTAAATGTGGCGTTATCCTCAGTGTCTCTCTCCCATTTCCACTCGTTTCAATGGTTTCTAAGAGTTTGACATTGGTAAACCTATTTCCTTGTCTGGAGAAGAGTCCCTATCTTGTCTGCCTTCTGAGTTGATAGCTGAGTGAGAACAGAATGAGGTTGGTAAGAGAAAAGAGTTTTAAACACTGCAAGGCACTGTATGAACGGCTAGAATTCTGCTCCTGAAGCTCTGTGTCATCTTCCACCCTCCTGCAGGTCCAGGCACAGCTGGGGGTAACACCAACGGCCTCTGTCCACAGTGCTGAAGTCAGCCAGCTAGGGACCGTCAGTCCTTTGTTCCCCCTTTAGTTAAACATCAAATACAGATATTTCCAAGCTCAAAGGTTGTCCTAAAATTTAGAAAGTGCATCAAAATGTTTTTATTTAACTTATTTCAAGTAATTTTTTTTCAAAAACAGACAAAAGATGAATCTGCAGCTCAGTGAAAAGAGCTTCTCTTAACTTGGTATGAGTGAGCTATATAAGTTGGCTACTAACAATGAACTGATGCAATCTAAGGCTACATGGAGAGAGGTTTAGTCAGGGAAGGAAGGCAGACCAGCTTGCTCACACCTACACCAGCACTCTTGGAATAAGCTCTTGGATCAGAGTCAGGCACCACAATCTGAAACCACTGAATGGGAACATGGTCTTAATGACTGGATTCAAAGAAGGCAGAGGAGGAGTCTGTGAAGGCGTGAGTCCTGGAGAGGGCAGACATGAGGTACGCAGATGGCTGACATTTGGCAGATGGGCCTGTGAAGTTGAAGAGGTCTCAAGGACAGAGCTAGATGAACACTATGGGTAGGTTTGTTCAATCAAACCAAAAGATAACTGAATACTAGGGAGGGCAGTGAACCTAAGCACGTGACAGAAATGCTGAGTTTGAGAGTAAGATTACCTTACCAGGTATTGAGTCCTATTGACACCTGAGATGCCAGTCAACAGTTAATCACCTTCATGCACCTTCCCATTCCTGATTCCAGCTGATCTATGACTGC